CCTAAATAAAATGTTTTTAATTGTATACCAGTTTAACTTTGAATATTATTTATGATTTTAGCTTGTTAAGTTTGAGTTTAATTAAAGTTTAAAAAATACCGTAAGATGTTTGACGCATCTAATTTTAAGAGCTTCATTTCTGTATCTATGGAGGAGAATAAAAAACTGCAATGTAAAAAATGAAAAATATTAATATTTACATATTACTTTTCTGTTCTTTTATAACCAAGAAATTTGCTGCTTTGACATTTGGCTTATTTATAAGTGGGAACAGTTTATCATCTTAATAGATTTAATATCATATTCATAATATTCTAATTTAAGTGCTTAAAAACGAGAAAAAAAATTATTCACTTTACTATGATTATGAAATAAATATTTAAGCTAAATATTATTTAGTAGCCTGTTCTGTGTATTTTAACTACAGGCTAGTAAATCTGTTGAGTACATAGACTAATTGTGCAGTACAGAAAGTGTTCAAGGCTCTTTTGATTTACCAATATATAATGAAATATGGACACTACTCATGTTTGATAACTGTAATTGTGAAGAAATAGGTTTGAACAATGTAAATAATAGCAAGGAATGTCTTTTTTTTCCCTGAAAATGTCCACACTGGTTAGTTTGTTGAGGTTAAAAGAAAACCTGGTAAGAGTTCCATATGGCACCCCCACTCAATTTTTAAAAAAAAGTCATCAAAGTAATATTTATGTATTAATAAATCATATTAATAGTATGATCTGATAATTTTAATACATTATTATACCACTTACTTCATTAATTAGATGTACAATTTTCTTGGGGATAAACTTTACAAATGTCTTATATAAAGGCATCAAAAAGGCTACTTTTATCAGAATATAATGTTCTCCACATGTATTCACACAAATGCTTGTCAAAGCCATGCCCCAATTTTTCTAATACGCCCCTTAAAATAAACCCTTTTCAGAATCTTTTTTATCCAAGCAATTCTACAATTTTTGGGTGGGGGTGCCATATGGAACTCTTTCCGTTTGTTGAATACAGCTCAGAATATGTATTTTATTATAACACAAGCGAGACAAATACAAAGAATTGTCTTTAATAGTTGATACCTTTACAATTTTCGCTACTTTTGAGTGTTTCGTATGAGAAACACCTTTAACGTTAATATAAGCCCAGAAGAATAAATATACACCAGTACTGTACACATATTTGCTTCTTTCAAATATTGAAAACCGAAGAGATGGATTCTTGTAACTTCAACTCAAACAAATCTCTGGTAATTTAAATTAGTCTGAAATAACTGTTTAATACTCTAATAATAATCATTTAAATTTTTTGTTCTGACGTTCTTCTATAATATAAAACATTTTGTTATATTATACACTCGTGTTGGTGGCCTACAGTGCCTACAAAAAACGAAATAAAGTAAAAAACAAAACAAAAAAGGCATGGTTGAATAAATATTTTATCTCTCTCTAATGTATGACTGCTCGTCGTCTTTAATTAAGCAGTGATAGGCTAGAGGGAAGGCAGCTAGTCAACACCACCCACCACCAGCTCTTGGGCTCCTCTTTTACCAATAAACAGTGGAATTAACTGTCTTATTGTGTAGGACATATTTGAGAGGCATAACTTCAGTAGGATAACATGTTTTGTCTTATAACACAAGCCTACGAATTTAAACTTCATAAAAGTTGTTTTGGTTTCAATAAGGATTTTCTATAATACAGCTACGCAAATTTCGAAAATAATATTCACATTTTTTCTATCATGTAAGGATTTTTTACAATTTGGGAAGAAAAAATCTGTACAAAAATCTGTACGTGATGGAGAAAAAATGGATATCATTTTCGATTCAGCATAGAGGAATTCCTGTAGGACGCGTAAAAATTTCAAGACAATAAAACCATCGCAGGCGTGTGTAATTTGAGATTATGCATACCAATCTACAAAGTATTATCTGAATACTATCACGCTTGCAAAAAAAAAATACCTGGAAAACTGAAATTAACTCTCTGCATAACTAATTTGTTATGCGGTGCTTTTGAACGATTTAAAAAAAATCAAGTTTTAAGAAAAGAGCTTCAAAAATGTAATATGAAATACCTGTTATTTTCTTTTCGGATTTATACCAAACAGTACATAAATGGTTCTTTATTCCTGTTTATTTAGACGACGAGTTTTATTAGTTGATTTCACACCTACCTTAGGAAGCGTTGAAGTAGAAGCTCCAAACGATAACGTTGGTAAACAGTATTTGCCTCGAAACGGAATAGAGCTCTTTCCGTCTACTGGAAGAATAGCTGTTGTCTTCACGCATTCCGAATAATAGCCCAGAAAAACCACACTTCCCTGAAGTATGCCGCTAGAGGGCTTTCCGAGAGCATCGATCACTGAAAATAATATTGCGTTTAGAAATGTTTATCAGTAAAATGTGTTTATCATGCTGTTTCTAATGAGAACTAAAACTATGTACATACATAACTTATTGAGATTAGCCGAATCATGACTTTCAGAACAGCTATGCTAGTTTCCATTGTAGAAAACAGAAATATTAATATATGCAACTTTTAGTCGTACCTGTAAACAACAGAATGACGTAGGTTATGACGTACAACAGTGCAATTTTATATTAAACAAACAAGATGATCCAAATTTGCTTATTTTTCATTAACACTTGGTGCATACACCGAGTATATTTTATGTTCTTATGTAAACTACTTGCTGAGGCTCCAGTTTAAAAATTTAATTTAATTTCAGTTTGTCCCCCAATAGGTCAATGGTAAATTTGCGAGATTCTACCAGTAAACTACTTGTCAAAGCTCCAATTTCAAATTTTAATTTCGTTTCTGTTTATCCCCCAATAGGTCAATGGTAAGTTTGCGAGATTCGATTCCCCGCGGTGGGCAGAGTGTACATAGGCCCATTGTGCAGAATTGCACTGAAAGAACAGCAACAACTTTCTGCTTTGAAAACTATTTATCCTAGACTATTGTTTAATAAGAAAACAACTGTCGTACTTATTCAATAAACTGTATATTCTGATTCAATTAAAAAAAAAACATTCAAAAAGAAAGTTTAATCAAAATATGTCTTTTCCTCTTTCTTCAACTCCCCAAGAATGTCAACATTTTAAGAATTAATATCAACTTGCGATCAAAGCAAACTAGCCACATAGATCATAACTAAACATATTAACCCGAAGAAACGTAACTAGGTATACTGTTCTTATGTTCTTACTGATAAAAACTGGAATGCACTGTTTCAGCAGTTGGATACTCTTGCTTTTAACAATATTTTCAGTAATATTTTACGAGATTCGATCACTTTAGGAGATTTAGGTTGGTCTTAAATTCATATGCTAAGCTACCAATCCAATGCCACCTTTTTGAAACGATAGAAAATAAAATTATTCAGCTGTGTATATCATCAGTTAATTTTAATTTTATAATTCAAATACTAACTGTAGGCTAAATAGCATCTCAACCACTGCTATGCCTATTATATCCAATCCGGCCTGAAGAGCCTCGGTATTGTTAGCAAGTCCTCCTCGGTACGGGATATAGATATGGTGTGATTAATATAATATTATACATTGTTCTTCACATTCATTCAGCAGCTATTATACAGTAGAACTTTGATTAACGGGCACCACGCTATTAAGGACAAACCTTTTCAGTCTCTTTCTTTTTCCTACTATTTGTAACCAAAATAAGACTTGTAAATAAGGGAACTTAATAATAAACGTATCTAGGGAAGGGATAGATTGCGTTGAAGAAGACACGCAACACATTTGAAGAAATTCACTTTAAAGAAAAATTAACAAGTTTTGAATTAAAAAGAAGTTACTGAATGTTAACATTTTTCAGTAGCTGCCAACATCTCTGTTTTGATTTGTAAAAGAATGAAAATAAACATTTATATTATAACTGTGTAAATAACTTGTGTTTAACCTACAAAAACTAAAACCTTCAAGTAACGAATGAAAAAAAGTACAATACAGAAATATGCTACAGTTTATCAGACCTTGGAGTCCATTCTATAAAAAAAATCTAATTTATTTTGCATTCCCAAACATTAAACAAATACATATTTATTGCCCTTGCTACAAATAATGCAATGTCTAAAAATTTTAATTGGTAAATCTCTGAAATACGTTAAAAAACATTTAAACAAGTACTGTCCTATTGTAATATCCTCAAGCTCACTGATAACCTTAAAGAAAGGGATAGTAACCATAAATAACAGAAGGAACTGTAGGAAATGTATTGTGGAATTAAAACTGAAATTTTGGCTTGGTCGAGTTGAAGGAAAGAGACTGGATACAATATTGAAGAAAGCAGAAAACCGATATTTATTCATTACAGAAAAACAAAGCAGAAGCATCAGACAGCAGTTCGAAAGTACAGAATGAAAGGTTGGAATTATCTATATATATCATAGAAATATTTCTGTATATTCTAGACTGAGAGAGCATGGCATGATATGCACAAAAACAAAAATATCATACATTGTCCACGTACAACCAGTAAACTATTTGTTAAGCCTTCAGATTCAAATCTTAGTTTAGCTTATAATGTCTACTGTTCATGTTACTGGTCATCCCATTTGTGAAAATAAGGATAGCATCAAGGCAGTAGGTAAAATATCAAAACTCTGTCTCCAGCAACATCAACCATAGGAAAGACCAAACATATCCAGGTGGGACACACTTCTTGACTATGTGTAACTATCACATGAAATTAGGACATTAATGTACAAGGTAGACTTCCCGGGTTTGAGATTTCACATGTGCTCCAAAAGCAAGTGCAGCTAGAAGAAGCACATTACTAGAAAACATGCTACTTTCTCAAGAACCACACCCTCTTCACTCTTTTCATTAGGGTTGTCCTCAAGCAATTTTTAAGATTAAAACCAAATTTTTTTATAAAAAAATTAAAAATCGCTAATCAGCTAGGTTCCTATAGTACCATATTTCTTGCGCCTGTAAAACCCCTTGATGTCCTTCCACTATGTTTCACGTGATTAATTAATTGACGGTCATTGGCCGCATAAGTGTCTTATGGGCCGAAGTTGAAAGGTCATGGGTCAAAGAAGGAAGTGGGTATAACTCAAGAAACGGCTCTTCTTATCAACCTTATGTTGACTGTTGGAGTAGAAACTGCAACTCAGTTTATGTATTGTTGCAATTGTGGTGGCCATTTTTTTCATTGCATTCCTCCAAAGAGAGCGCTAGCGCACTCTCTAAGATATATAAGACGTTTGTGTGCCCTTTGCTCCTGTGCCTTCTCCCCCACACAGGGTGTATGTTGTGTTATAGAAAGTTAATATTGTTTTGTGTGTTTAAGGACGTGGCGCCATCTATGAATGTAGTTAATGTTAACTTACGTCAAAGATAATAAATACTCAATAACAGCATAAATGGGGAATGGAGGAAGCTGCGAATCACCATTAACACGCCCTTTGTTCCAAACCATCATCCCACAAATTTTGGTTGAGACTGGCCCAGCAACCTAAGAGTAGCTAGATAATGGACAAACAGACAAACATAAATATTTTGTGCTTTATATATATGTATATGTGATGAAAATACAGGGACAAATCCTCAGTGCACACAAAATAAAACACTTTTAACATTCATTGTTATAAAACGACGCTGTCACATTACCGATCTCCCAAACAATTTGCAGTAAAAACTAAAGGTATTTTATGGAAAACCTCATTAACAAGTTACAACATAAAATAATGTTAAAAAAGAAGGGCTTTATATGTGCAATTGTATATATATATATATATATATCACCAAATTGCGATTACAATAATATAAACACACTTTAAGCTATGAACCTCAACTATTTAAAAAACAAAACGCCCTAAACAAGATGCATACGAATATATATATATATATACATAAAAAATTCAAAACACCTTTTAATCAAAATATAGTATACACATAAATATAAGGTAAATTAAACTTGATAACATTCCTTTCATTAAAATCCGAATAGGTATGTGCTATATTTTCATACAAAAACTTTGGTCAAAAACAGATATTTTAAAAGAACTACATATAAGTAGTAGTGATGGCGCACATGTACTTGACATCTAACACCACAATCGCCATCATGACCTGCACTAGCTCATAAACTGAACGGGACTGGAATCATGAACTCTTCACAATACAGAGGTGATATGACTTCGTGTCATCCTGACCTGTGATGTCACATACTCTGGTAATGCCAAGGTGGCGGTCTCCATTAGCAGAAGCATGATGTCACATCCAATGGCAGTCTTCTATGGGCGTAGCCATATTGGATGGACATGAGAGGATAATATCCTCTGAGGCTAGGAAGTAACATGTCATCACAGGTGGATAGTTCTGTAGAGTGCCTTCGGAGAGTGCCCCTGACCTTGGAATCGACCAACGTTGACGTGTCTCAGCCTGCAAGTACGTCACAATGATGATTTGTTTTCTTAATTTCTTCCAAAGCTACTCCACATCTATCTGCCTAGCAATCCATAACTTAGAATTGATTGACTAGAAGGATGGCAGCTAGTCAACACCATGCACAGCCAACTCTTAGACTACTCTTTAGCAACGAAAAGTAGGATTAACTGTCACATTATAACGTCCCCGCGACTGAAAGGACAAGTATATTTGGTGACAGGATTCGAACTCGTGACCCGTAGATCGCGAGTCAATCGCCTAAACTACTAGGCCTTACTAAACCTACATCATAAGGAACTGTTTAAATATTAGATCTGCATTATCATTATTGTCATATTTATTCTGTATAGTTTTACTTCAATATCCATTTATTTAATAATAAGCAAATTGTTTGAATAAGTGAAGTTAATATTTTGTTTCATTAAGTTTGTTGTAATTTGATTATTTTTATACATAGTTCATGCTTTACTCATATGATTATTCATTTATTAATTGAACTTATAATCTACATAGAGGAATATTTCCCATATTGATATTCAAACATGATATCAAATGTTCAGCTACCATATCTGCTACAGAATATACTACCATGTTGACCAACTGTTAAACTTCCACTTATTTGGTGAAGTAAATTATAATGAACAGCAAATATAGATTACATTTGTCAGTTATAGTGCAGGACAAACTATATCTAAGGTAATTCTCTTGATGCCAGAATTTCCTTAATGCTGCTAGTTTTCCTCTGTGTATGCACATGATATAATGTCTACACCATCACTCATGTGGTAAAAATGCTCTTACACACATACAATAGTGCATGACACTTTCCAGAGCTCTCTTGTCCTTGCATTATACAAAGTCTAAATTAACTCACACATTAGAACTCTTGGAACTACTAGCTGCATCATAGGTTTGCTGCCACGTCTCAGTGGATTATAATAATGA